TACCCAATTGCTGCCCAGGCATGGAGTTTCTTCTTGTGCTTCTCCTGGGGCTGTAGGCGTTCCTGGATACAATCAGGGCAATAGCGCTCGCCTGGTTTTCGGATAATCTAGGCCTTCTTCTCGTAGCTAAGGCTGAAATGGACTTCGTCGCTCCAACGGATATCTCTCTAGCTCTCTGGAGTAGGGCGTAAGGCGAGGGCTTTCTCTATAGCTTAGAGTCGTCGTTGGGCAATTGCTGAAGACACCCATTGCTTGTCGCAGGCAATACACTTCCTATACCCGAGGGTCCCGAGAGACCTCTAGATAGTTCTCGGGGAGCAGTTTACGAAGACTCCAGCCTCGTAAGCTATAGTCTCCTATCTTAGGGCGCGAGCCTTAAAGCTAGCCTCCTAGATAAAGGCTTCTATCTTCTGTAGGTCTCCTTGTGTAAGGAGACGGGGGCGGCCGCGAGTCTCCTGTTGCTTATCGAGATGGCGTCGGTCGCGTTGCTCGCGCAGGATCTACCACCCTCGGCTCTTAGAGACGCTAACGTGGTCAAAAAGACGTTGTTTAATATAGGGGATTTTTTGAGAATCCAGGAAATCAGCTACGCCTATAATCTTAGATTTTTTAGGGGTATTATAGTGCTGATGCATAGTGAAAATGGTGTTGTAGTAGGTAGGTAGGTAGGGTGCGGGATTAATGGAGTCCTGTTATTTTTGTCACCCGCTTGCCTGGGTCGTGGCGCTTCGAACTAGGTCTCTGGAAACAAGAATAGGCCCGACAGCTCGGCCGAGGAGGGGGAGATGAGGGGATTCGCTCCAGTCTGAGTCAAAAAGGAAACGGCGACAAGTGTGTCGATTTTTGATGGAGCATCAAAGAGACCAAGACCGATCATTTCCGACGACGAGGCCTGATCAAGATGAAGCGCGACGTCTTGGCAGGCCGGGAGAAGGCCTCGACCGTGTGATGAACAGAGGCAATGGATGTGACAAGCGGCTGTGTGTGCGTTGCGAGCTCGGAGCTCGGCCGTCGTCGAGGTGGGTTTCTCTGGGAGGAGTCAGAGGAGTCATGGTGGGAGCGGATCAACAGCGCCATGACTCTGGCGCGTGCAGTCTTCGCCCTGGTGTGACTGACAGCTCCAGCACGCGAGAGAAAGGATGGCCCACCGAATGGCTCTCAGTACATTTGCATATCAGTGAGGCATAGTTCGGCGCTGATGTACCGGCACACTGGGGTCTTCTCTCTTTTGGTGGGCCGTTTCCCTGTCGACTACTTAAGCTGGTGTTCAGCAGGTCGTCTGACCTGGCGCTGTAGCCTATGGAGGGAGCGTAAGACCAAGATCTTGAGAGACTTGCACGAACCAACACGATGTACGGGAAGCATCGTTGCCATCAGCAGGATGTACATGGTAGTCAAGGGAGCATACAGTACAGTAGCAGTGCAACAGGAGTCTAGTACAGCAGCAGTACAGCAGCAGCCAAGGGCGCCTACACTACAGCGAGCATGCATGGTACAGCCTCTCCCGAAAAATGCCGCTAACAGCAGGAATTGACGAGGCCGGCACGCGGGCCGCCGCAGACAGCGCGGCACTCTGGCCGATCCACACGCGATGGGCCTGCAGAGGAAGCAAGAAAAATGGTTCTCGTTACGTGCCGATGGGTCCCGCGTGCAGAGTTTTCCCTAACGGCAGGTTGAGACGAGCCAGCATCGACCAGGGGGAGACAGCCTCAGTTCGTTCGAGAAAATTTCTCTGCATGGTCAACGGCGCTCGACAGCTTCTCATTGGCACGGAGACAGACCGGAGATGGATCGGACGCTGACATAAGGCGGACAGTCCGAATTCTCGAGAGGAAATGTCCCCGTCTTTTGCCTCTTTTGCCTTGTTGTCGCTCCGAATCTTGAGTCTTGTGGATCCCGAGGCCGGTGAGCCCGGTGCTACCCGCGCCACCTACGCTGGCCGGCGTCTATGATACTCGACCCAAGCCGTAGAGACCTGATCATGGTCAGCTTTGAATCATCCTCTGGAAAGTCCTATTTTTTTTCTGCTTCATGCAGCTCGAACCGCGCTCGCCCCGGCCGTGGGTCGCCTGTCCTCCGCCGGTGGGCCTCGATCGACTTGGCCCCGGCCTCTACCCATTGCCCATTGTTACTCATCGTACCATGTCCTGCTGTTCGATGTACATAATAGCTTCCTCCCTGCCTGCTCGCCTCCTCGTCCTCCTCCACGCTTGATCCCACATCATTCACACTTCATCATCGTCTAGCCAGTTGCTCAGTGCCTGTTCCCCTCCTCCTCCTCCTCCACCTCCTCCTCCTCCCCGCAATGGAAAAGACCCCCCACACCTCCGAGGCCATGGCCTTCCCCCCGCCGAGCCCCGGTGCCGAGCCCAAGACGGACCTGGAGACTGGTGATGCCGGCCTCCAGCGTACTCTGTCGAGTCGTCACCTTCAGTTCATCGCCATCGGTGGCACCATCGGCACCGGTCTCTTCCTCGGTACTGCCGATGCCCTGACCTCGGCCGGCCCCGTCGGCTCCCTTCTCGCCTTTGCCTTCATCGGCGCCGTCGTCTTCTCCGTCATGACGTCGCTCGGCGAGATGGCCACCTACATCCCCGTCGCCGGCTCCTTCACGGCCTACGCCTCGCGCTTCTGCGACCACTCGCTCGGCTTCGCCATGGGCTGGACCTACTGGTTCTCCTGGTCCGTCACCTTTGCGCTCGAGCTCTGCGCCGCCGGCCTCATCATCCAGTACTGGAACTCGTCGCTCAGCGTCGGCATCTTCATCGCCGTCTTCTGGGTCATCTTCACCGCCATCAACTACATGCCCGTCCGCTGGTTCGGCGAGCTCGAGATGTGGTTCTCCTCCATCAAGGTCGTCACCATTGTCGGCTGGATCATCTTCGCCGTCTGCGTCAAACGCCGGCGTCGGCGACGAGGGGCTACATCGGGCTTCAAGCACTGGGAGCCAGCCGGGGCCCTTTGTCGAGTACATGGTCGACGGCGCCACCGGCAAGTTCGTCGGCTTCTGGTCCGTCCTCATCATTGCCGGCTTCTTCTTTCCAGGGGCTCCGAGCTCGTCGGCATCGGCGCCGGGCGAGTGCCGCGACCCGGCCAAAGAGCGTGCCGCGCGCCATCCGCGTCACCTTTCTGGGGCATCTTCAGCCTCTTCATCGCCACCGTCTTCTTC